TGTGATGCTGCTATGGTACAGTTATCTCTTTGGCATAGTAGAAGCTAAAAATTAAGTAAATACATCACTAAACAAATACTTTTTTTTTTTTGGTCGTAGTTCCTGAACTCTGGGCCTGGGCACTGTCCCTCAGCTCTTCAGCTCAAGGCTAGCACGCTACCACTTGAGCCACAGCGCCACTTCTGGCCTTTTCTGTTTATGTGGTGCTGAGGAATCGAGCCCAGGGCCTCACGCATGCGAGGCAAGCGCTCTACCACTGAGCCACCTTCCCAGCCCAATCTTGTGAACTTTGATGACCCGTTGAACATCGAAGTTGCAGAACACCACCTGGCAGACGAGGACGACTTCTGGAAGAAGTGGATGGCTGCATCACAGGTTACAGACGAGAGCACTGCAGGCCCGTGGACTATGAGTCACAGCCCCATTGTCACGTGGAGCAGCACAAGGTAGCCCTGCTCCCCGCGCCCGCAGCCCCACAGGACTGTCCCTGGCCTGGGACCATCTCCCAAAGAAGACCATCCTCCAGATGGTGGGTGAACACAAAGAGCAAGAAAGCCTTTGGGCCTCCAGAGTTGTCTGCTTCCCTTAACACGTTTACTTTTTTAAAAGTTTCTTTTTATTTTATCATAAAGATCATGTACAGAAGGGTTACAATTACATAAGTCAGGTAATGAGTATATTTCTTCTTGAACAGCGTCACCTCCTCCCTCATTTTCTCCCAGGTTTTTCTTCCCAAGCTCCCTCCCTCTCAAGATGCATAGTTCATTTCCAATGTAGTGTCCAGTGAGTGTCACTGCTGAATTGGTTCACCGTGTGTCCTGAGAGACTTCTCAGAAGTTGTCATTAGCTCAACCCTAGAGGCTAGTGCTTGCTTCCCTCTCCCCAACCCCAGCAGTGTCCTGCACAAGCCACGCAATGATGTGTTCAGTGTAACTCACAGATTGGCAACAAGAAAGCCGCTGCAGACTGAGACTGGATGCACATTCTCTTAGCTTCTTCCACTCTGGTTGGCCCTGCCTACATGTGATGCTCCCAGAAGGCCTTGTCCTTCACTACAGATCTTAACTGAAATGCATATTTCATCATTTACTAGCAGACACAAAGATGTCAGGTCAAGCAACTCTTGAAGAGAAATGCAAAGAAAATATGGAAGGCCATGTTAGTCATTCTCTCCAAGCACAGCGGAAGGCAAGCCCCTAAACACCAGCTGTTGCTCTCATGTCCAGCTGTGGTGATGTTTAGAGGCCCTTAGAAACTAGATCTTGATGATAAAAATCAACAAAAAGGCAAGGCTCAGGGCTCAGACTAGCTGGGGTTGTTGGTCCTACAGTGGGCATGAACTCGGCCTGTGGCTGCTACGATAGCAGAGCCCTGTCCTGCCTGTCCTGCAAGAGACAGGAAGTGCCTAGTGAGACCACCCAATGTCTGATGCCCAAGACTGTGTCGTGGCCATTCTCTGAGTTGGCTGGGTGCCAGGCCCTGGTGGGGCGAACCAACCCCTCTTCCCCCAGTCACAAAGTCAGGTGCCAGTGTGTGCCATGAATGGTCAGGTTAATGCACTTCAGAGAAGAACCTTGAAGAGAGGAAGTGAATCATTCTCGCATTAGGCAGTTGATCCTGTGAAATCAAATGCAAAATAAATGTCTCTGGTTTTAAAAAAAATTACATCAGCCCAACTTGTCATTGGAAGACAATCTGATAAGAGGAGGAACTAAGGTAAAGATAGTATTCCTAATCATTTCTAGGTTCACATTCAGATTGTTAGCATTTGTAGTTGAACATCACCACAATATCAAATTGGAAGGCATCTTGGTCAGGTTAATTTTTTTTAACGTGATTTGAGAAGCTCAAGGTAAAATATTGGATTATATTTAATTCCCACTGCAAAACCTAATTCGTTGTGTGCGAGTGTGTGTGTGTGTGTGTGTGTGTGTGTGTGTGTGTGTAATATTGTATGAAGCCATGCCAAGTGAGAGCACTTGGTTTCCTGGAATAAATACGAAGTGTTAACCTAGAATTTACTTGCACTAAACTATTGCCTGTGACTGAATCCAATATTATATACCAATATGCTCTTTCCCATTGGCCACAAAGTCCTGTAAAAGCTCCCAGAACACAGACATCATTCTCTTCCTTTTTCTTTGTAACATTCTTTTGCTTAAATGACAACATAACTTTTTTTTGACAAATTGCTAAGAGTTTCTGCACTTTCAAATAAGTTCTGTGAAGTTGAAGCCATCCCAGAAAATAAAGGCCCTCATGTTTTTGTCTTATGCTGGGAAGAGATGGATATTTATAGCATAGGAGCTCCATTTCACAGCTGCTGGAAAAACTGGAGAGACTAAGGAATGTGAATCCACCTTTGCTACAAGGATCTTTCCCCTTTGTGTCCCCATGTCATAATGGTACACCTTGGGAGAATGTGGTGCATTCCATGTGAATGGGAAACAACAATATACACACACATACACATTTGACAACTTATCAAAATTAAGCCTGTGATCACAGCAGTCACATTAGTTACAATCTCTTCTCTTAGAAGAGATTAGATGTCTGTTAGCCTCATTTTAAATGAAATTTGAATATAATAATATTAGCAATTTTAAAGATTAAAAGAAGCTTAAAAATCTTGGTGTTCAAGAGTTAATAGTTTGAGGAAGGAAATGTACAATTTTCCCTTTTCCCCACTGTGGTGACTTGCAAATATGTCCAAACATTCCTCAACATTGCCTTTTCTAATGAGAGGATCTAATTCTCTACCCTGGCCCAAGTGTCACACTTCTAATGAAGTAATGGTAGTAATAACTGGTCAGAAATGGCAGTTCAACTTCCTCCTCCTCCTCCTCCTTCTCCTCCTCCTCCATCTCTTTCTCTATTTCTCTTTCTCTCTCTGTCTTTCCCCCTTCTTTCATCATTTGCTCTGAGGTAGTGCCCTGTCATAGGGATACACTTATTATGAGGACTTATGACTCAAAAATAAAAAGAAATGAAGTTCTCTCTGTCAAAAGCCACTAAGCAACTGAGTGTTCCTGAAGACTAAGGAGTTCAGCTGATTGCTCCCCAGCCAGACACTTGATGAAATGTAGAGCTCTCAAGCAAGCAATAACTGACAAACAGAAACGCTAAGAAAATATCTGTAGGTCTAAGCTACATTTCCTTTTAACTTTTAGAGTAATTAGAAATACAGCAGCATATAAATATTCTTGTCTGCTTTTGGCAGTTTAGAGTACATCCCTGTTCAGGTCCCTGCTTACCCTCTTGCCAGGGGGATGGCCTTTGTCAAGTTAATTGCACTTTCTGTGTCAGTTTCCTAATCTGTAAATGGACATCTTAGTACCTATCACGAAGAGCTGTAGTAATGACTACATAGAATAATACACATAAATGTTTTAGATAATTATGACTATAATTATATTACAATCAAGCACTACTTTCTTTTTGTGAAAGGATAGCAAACAAGTGAGGAATTACAATACAAAGCAAAAAGTTAACACAGAGCCTATCTGAAGAATTAATTGCTCTGTATTTAGAAATATAACCTGGTCATGAGTTATCTGTTATATATAGGCTCAGATGAAGTGTGTTGGTCACAAGAAGACTCATTCTCATTCCCATTGCCCAAGCTGAATGAAATTCAGTAACTAACAGAACAGGCAAAACATTTATCCAAGCAGTGGGAAACAGGATGGGATGGTATCTACTTGGAGATCATTTGCCAGGGTAACACCGGCATCATGGAAGTCTATCAAAGCATGCAAAAATGCCAAGTCTTCCAAATGGAGTATTGCAAGTCACCAACTCTGGTCTTCCTGGGATATCAAACTGAGGCTCCTTGAAGGAGTTACCAGTATTATAATAAATATACAAACTAAAATTAGAAAGGCTTTGTTTAATCACAAAACCCTTCCAAAGAATTGAGAAAAAGTCTGGCAAATTTCCATATAAATTTCCAAGGAAAATATGAAGGAATAATAGACATTTGTTCACAGAAAACATACCTTCTCTCTCTCTCTTTCCCTCTCTCTCTCCCCATCTTTACTTTATCTACCTCTCTTTATCTCTTTCCACTGTTATACTTTACTACCTTCAAGGAAGGCAAAGATTATGTTTATCATGATCACAACTAAATCCCTAGCACCTCAGTAAAATGTCAGTCCAATGAAAGCAGTCAAATAAGCATAGATTTTACAGGACGTTAGAAGTGTTCCTAATATACAACGTATAAACCTGTCTGGGTATAGAGGAGTGTTTCCCTGCTCTAGGGATGGAATATATCCACCAAAAGTACACATAGATGAGGGTGAGGAAGAGTGATGGAAAGAGTGACAGTTATCACTCATAAATTGAAACTGAAGTTGAATTGAAGTCCCTTTGCAAACCTAAGGGTAATTTTAAGTAAGAGTGAGCACACACACAAAGCAAGCAAAAAGAAATCAGAGGGTAGATGTGAAACACAGTAAGATAAATGAATAATTAATGTGATACCACGTAATGTTTATAAAAATTTAGATCTTAATTGAAAATGTCACAAAAACGGACATCTTACACAAATACAAATTTTTTGCAAGAAAAATTAAGGGCCAAGCAATGCTACAGAGTTTTTCCAGACAAAAAATTTAAATTTTCAACAAGAACAAAGCCCTCAGCACACAGACAGCATATATCTTTCTAAAATGGATTTCACAATAATTCTTATATTTTGCATTATTTTTATATGTATAGTACAAAACAAATCACCTCATTTTTTCTTAGTGACTGAAAAGATACATTCATAGAAACAGTGCCTTAAATAAATAGTAAACAGAAGAAACAAAAAAAGCCAGAGCCAATATTGGTGACTAAAATATACAAACTTTAGCTGGGTGCCAGTGGCTTAGGCCTGTAATCACGCTACTCAGAAGGCTGAGGCCTGGAGGATTGAAGTTTGATACTAAACTAGACAGAAAAGTCTGTGAGACTACATGTCTAACCAACCAGTAAAACACAAGATGGGAGGCATGGCACAATTGGTAGAGCACCAGCTCTGATGATAGAAGCCAAATGAGAACATGAGGCCCTGAGTTCAAGCCCTAGTACTGGCATAGAAAATAAAATCCACAAACTTGCTGATTTGTCATTCCCTTTCTCATATGGTTGGCTCAGTAAGCTAACTTTAAAAACAACTGTAAGTCTAGTCCAACAAAGAATTCCAAATATAAGTTGACTCTCTCAAGAATGCAAATATGAGATCCACAAAGTTCTGTTTGTGCACCTAAGAAACACTTCTAGCAGTGATGTTCAAGGCCAGGAGAACCCATCTCTCCATCTTGTAACAAGACTTGTGCTAGCTTTCACCAGACAAAAGGTCAGTTTGTTCATCTTCCATGCTATCAGTGTCTTGAGATTTAGACCTACATTGGAGGAAAAAAACAATAGGGGAATCTCAGTATTATTTATCTTAAAAACAAAGAAACACTCACAGTACCTACATCTCCACCTGAACATGTTCTTGGGTGGGGGGGAGGGGCAGCAGGTACTGGTCCTGAGGCTTGAACTAGAGGCCTGAGCATTGTCCCTGAGCTTTTTTGCTCAAGGTTAGTGCTCTACCACTTGAGCCACAGCTCAAGTGCTTTTGGTGCTTAATTGGAGATCAAGGTCTCACAGACTTTCCTGTCCAAGTTGGCTTTGAACCATGATCCTCAGATCTCAGTCTCCTGAGGAATTAGGATTACAGGCATGAGCCACAGGTGCCCACTCCAAATATGCTCCTAATGTCCACCAAGTGATAAGCCTCAGGGTACCCAGAAATCTGCTGACTAAAAGAATGAATCTACGACAGTATTTCTTTCCCATCTCCATAAATTGGCTTTTATGGGGAGGGAAAAAAAAAAAAGACCTGAGGTTAAGCATACCTTTTCTTTCTGAAGTACTCCAGAAGATAAAATAAGCCCATCACTAGTCCCTTTAACATAATAAAAGGTAAAGTTAATTTAAATCCTTTAAATTAAGTTTCCTCAAATCACAAAGAAATGGACAAAAAAAGATGAAAAAAGATGGTTACTTACACTTATGAGAGACCACAGGCCTTGTATAGCTGCTGCCCACTCAAAACCAATTTTCTCATACAGAAATCCACCAAGCATTGGTCCCATAAAAGCACTAACAATGGAAAGAAGAATGAATGAATATTAAATAGTGCACAAAAATACTTTATGTAAGGTGCATGATACATTAGGCATGCATCTTCCTTTCACTGGAGATATAAATTCCGAAGAAAAAGGCCAGTTCTTGGACAAAGCATGGCTATAAGAAAATAATTCTAGGGCTGGGGGTGTAGCTCAATGGCAGAATATAGTGTGTGAGGTCCTGAGGCCCTGTGTTTGATCCTCAGCACCACAAAAAGAGAAAGGAGAGAAAAGAAAGAAAATTCTACCAAAATGCTGTTTTTAAATTTATTTAAACAATTTTCGAAAGGTTGGCAGCTTATGTGAAAAAAAGCTTTTATAAGTATGACATGTTCAAAAGAATCTTTACTCCTTCTCCTTACAGTATTTGCATCTAATATGAATCCATTCAATACATCTTTATTCACTATCTGTGATGCTGCTATGGTACAGTTATCTCTTTGGCATAGTAGAAGCTAAAAATTAAGTAAATACATCACTAAACAAATACTTTTTTTTTTTTGGTCAGTTGTGGGGCTTGAACTCTGGGCCTGGGTGCTGTCCCTCAGCTCTTCAGCTCAAGGCTAATGCTCTACCACTTGAGCCACAGCGCCACTTCCAGCTTTTTCTGTTTATGTAGTGCTGAGGAAGTGAACTCAGGGCCTCATGCATAGGAGGCAAGCACTCTACTATAGAGCTACCTTCCCAGTCCAAGGAATACATTTTTTGAAATAGGTGACGTGCTAAAGGAATTTCACAAATATCATTCAACTGAAACAGAGTGGGACCACTCTGATTTGGTATTCAATCTGCTGGTAGACTAGGATTCTAAGGCAGAAGATGTGGATTGGGACTCAAGCTCTCCCCAGTGTAAACTGTTAGTCTTTGAGAAACTCATATGACCTCTTGGTGTCTAAATATTTTCATCCGTAAAATAAAGACAGTATTTTCTGTCTTTCAGGTCTCAGTAAATTCAATGACTACTCACCCAACTGACCACATGGCACCAAAGAGACCTGAAACAAGTCCCAGTGTACTTAATCCTTCTTCAAATCCATTCTCACTGCAAAGACAGACATGAGTATATGAAGTAAGTCAGACCCAGGAGACAAAGGACCCATGTTTTCCTTTATATGTGGAAACTAGATTTAGCTTACATACAAAGTCGTGAGTAAATACAATGGGTAGTATGCAAGTATATATAACTGTATTAACGGAAATACCATAGATTCAAGTGAGATCTCAAATAATGTAATTCCTTAGAAAGCCAAAATTAAATTCAGCAAAATAAAATACAAGGAAGTGGTGAAAGGACCCTCCCCATCCACGCCAGGGGACCACACGGAGGCAGGCAGGCACAGGAGGAAGATGATTACAAGGTTTATTAGAGGTACCATATTTCCCCCAGAGAGAGAGCACATGGCAGCCTCCACTATAGGTAGCAGCAGGGTCTGGGGGTTAGGAAGTGAGATGGATGGGAGTTCAGGTGGGTCTCGGTAGAGAGAGGGAGGTGCAGCTGTAAGGTAGGAAATCCAGGGCAGGGAAGAGCTCAAGTCTCAATGGAGCTGAGGACCACAGGTGGGCATAATGCTTACAAGTGGCTACTCAAAAGGGGTGGAGTGGGGTCAAGAGGAAAAGGGTAAACAAATGAAGAAGAGAAGAGAGAAAACAAGCAGATAAGAATCCGAGTATATCCTACCAATTTAGGAAGAGTGAGGAAAGGGATGGGTAGGGGAGGGGTGGTGAGAATGTTGACATTGATCAAGATGCACTGTATTCACAAACTGCTTTGTTAAATGGCAACTCCTTTATACACACAACTACTTATAGATAATAAATAATAAAAGTTCATTGTTTTTGTTTTTGTTTTTTTGGTGGTCATGGGCCCTGAACTCTGGGCCTGGGCACTGTCCCTCAGCTCTTCAGCTCAAGGCTAGCATTCTACCACTTGAGCCACAGCGCCACTTCTGGCTTTTTCTGCTTATGTGGTGCTGAGGAATCAAACCCAGGGTCTCATGCATGCAAGACAAGCACTCTACCACTGAGCCACCTTCCCAGCCCCAAGTTCATTGATTTTCAAAAAAAGGAAAACCTGCATGGGATTAAGATAAACCAGGAATAACCTGGAAACCAACAACAAGAACATTCGGTCTCTAACATAAAAGAGCAAATCGAGGGAGCTTGGAATATGACTCAATGGTGGAACATATGCTTAGTATACACAACATTTTAAGACCAACAAGTAAAATAATATATATCCAACTTGAAGGAATTTCCATAATTTTCCTGAAGATAATTTTATCACATATATGGTACAATATAAAGAATTATAAAACCCTTTGTATTACATTCTTATCAATCACAATCATCTAAGAGATTCCTAAATGAGTCAAACAGAACAATGGGTGGCTTTAAGGAAACACAGAGGGAGTTCTATATTTCTATGAGATGTGTAGACTGGACCCAGCACTATCATTGTACTTGGTATTTTTCACTGAAAGGCCTGTCCTATCCAGGACCAATGGCCAAGTACTTGTGCTCCTGTATGGATCTCCTATGAAAGAGGGACAGTGCCAAAGACTTTCTATTTGTTTGGCCTTGCAAAATGATGTATACACTGAAGTATAAACTGAGCCAATCATCTATGACTAATCCTTTTTTTTAACCTATTTGTGTGTTAATAGAATTTATATCATAACATTTTCAGACTAGGAGATCATGACGATTTACTATTGGGGAAGGTACTCAACATCAGACAAAACCAAGAGATTTGAGGAAGCTAGCCACGAGGCAGCTGTTCAAGCAACGGGAGTCACTTACTATGCACAACTGAGGATCTCTGGGAAAGTTGGAATTATGCTCATTCCAGCGGAGATGCCAATTATAACTAATACCAACACCAGCAGCCACAGCTGACTGTAAGAGAGTTTTATAACAAACAAAACATTAGCATTTTAAGATACACCATCTTAAAGGTGAAGAGGATAAGCTCTCAGAGAAGTTAGTTTTATTTTTGTTTGATTATGATGGCATGGGACTTGAATGCAGGACCTGTACACTATTCTTGAGCTTTACTGCACAAGGCTAAGTTCTACCACTTGAGCCACAGCTCCACTTCTAGCTTGTTGATGGATAATTAGAGAGAAGAGTCTCATGGACTTTCCTGGCTTTGAACTGTGATCCTCAACTCTCTGCATCCTGAGTAGCGAGGATTACAGGTTTGAGCACTGGTGCCTGGCTCAGAGAAGTTAGTTTAACAGATTATGTAACTAGTTTTGTCATTCCTATCCAGTTCTATTGCCATTAAGCCTGATCATCTATTAGCTCCTTGTATTTGTGAAGAAAAAAATCAGCTAATCTATCTGATAATATCTTTGGATAAAGTAGCAAGCATCTTGGGCCAACAACCTTACTATACAAAATTCTCTCCAAATTCTGTTCATTTAGAATCATGTAGCCTTGAAACTCACCAACTAAACAATAATAAAGGAAGGGGGAAAAGAAGAGATGAAACTATTATTTGTTCTATTTTGAGCATGACAACAGGAACTTCATATATTATCTCATTTAATACTTGTGACATAAATCTTATTTTGACTCTTTATTATAAAATTATATAGAATTTAAATGTCATTGTCTAGGAATAAACCTGTATTGAAACATAGACACATTCATTCCTGTAAGTAAGTATTATGTATGGCTGCTTTCACATTACAGGTGCTCTTTTTTTGCAGCTAATAAGACAAGGCTCCTAGAAGTTTACTGATTTGCCTAAGTTCACACCATAGTAAGTGACATAATCAAAACTCAAATCCAAGTCTGAAAGACTGAGATCTCTCTTCCCATGATAACACATCTTCTCCAAAAAGTATCTTAAAAGATCTAACAAGCTCCCTTTATTTCAGAAAAAAAAAATTAACAAGCTTTAATGAGAAACTATTAGATGCTACAAACATACCAAATGTGGTCCCAGACTCAAGAAGTGAGTGAAAATAGAAAAAGATATATTCTAAGGTTGGGAGTGTGGCTTAAACGGTAAAGAACCTTTGAGGCTCTGTATTCAAGTCCCAGTACTAAACAAGAAAAAGTAATCATTGTTATTTATATATGTGCACATATGCATACACACATACATACATATATATTCTAAAAACTATAAAGCAAAAGTTAGTAGAAACAAATGCTATTTTAAAATAAGCACTAACAAGTATTGGGTTGAAACAGAAGACTTAGTGTTTTTTGCATTTGATAAAGATTTAGCAGTCTTGTTTGTTGGACCCAAATGTCTAGGAATATAAAATACTATCAGACTACCAAATAACTCAATAGAGACCTAAATAAAAAGAATTATTTAACCATTAAGGCTTAAATTACTAAGTAATATCAGTAGAATACTTTTTGAAATAATTATTAGTGTCATTTAGTCAAAACCCTGAAAGAGAAAAATTACCTTTTAATGTGAAAAATTGGGACAGGTCCTAAGAGAATGTAACACCCTGCTGTGATTAAATTGCCAAACACCAGAAGCCATTTCCTTTGATTCTGGTAAAGAAAAAGAGCCCAGAGAAATGCTTAGAGAAGGACCGTCTAGAAGCAAACATACTTAAAAACCATTAGAGAACTCAAATCATGATACTCAAAACTACCAATGCCTTGAAAAAAGAAAAGAAATTTTACATTTAAGAAAAAATAGATGTTAACTCAAAAGGAAGGACAATATACCACAAGGTAAAGGATGAGCAAAGGACATAGATTCCTTAGGAGGGTGAGTGTGATAGAATTTTGCACATTGTGAACTATTCAAAATATCTAAGAGTTTCCTAAGCAGTCACCATACAGAAGCCATCAACTAGTCAAAATAGGTAAGAAAAGTCACATTAATAGCTAGGCACCCATGGCTCATACCTATAATCCTAGGAGGCTGAGACCCTATCATCAGATCCTATCATCAGGAGGCTGAGATCCCAGGATTGCAGTTCAAAGTCAGCCAGAGAAGGAAAGTCTGGGAGACTCTTATATCTAATTAAATTAGAAGTGAAGCTGTGGCTTAAGTGATTGAATGCTAGCCTGGAGTAAAAAAGCTCCAGGACAGTGCACAGGCCCTGAGTTCAAGCCCTAGGACACACAGACACACAGACACACACAAAGACACACACACAGAATTGCCTTGTTTTGAAAAGCCCTTAATATAGACAGAATGGGAATATTCCCCTCAAATTCCTATATTAAATCCTAATTATGGTATCTGGAGGCAGGCTTTAAGACGGTGATTTGGTCTTGAAGGTGGAGCTCTCTTACAAAGAATCCTCAGAGAGTTCTCTTGTCCCTTCTTCCAAAAAGGAGACACTAGAGACAGCCATCAGCCACCCATCAAGCAAAAATTGGCCCTCAGCACAAAATCAGAGGGAAACGGGAAAATATACAACAGAGGGGTCCACCAGCTGCAATGGACATTAATGAAAATGAACTAAACAACTCAAGGGCAGGGATGGGAAAGAGGATATGAGAGAGAAAGAGGGAACAGCATACACTAAACAAAAGGAAAGAAATATACACATCACCTGATGTGGAAGAAATAGTTGTATTGTCAAAGCTCATACAATTCACAAACATTATAGACCATAACAATGAGAATTTGCCTTGTGAAGGTTAAAATGTGTTCGTGACTTTAACTAAGCATCACTATCTCACAACACTTGTGAAATTTATGTAATCACTTAATCTCAATAAAATCATTTTAAAAAACTAAAAGAAAAGAGAGATTGAACAAACAAATGATGGTACAAATACAGAATACAATGAAATAAGATTCAGCAGTAAAAGCAAGAATGAGGACCAGGAAGCAGAGTTCAAGGTAGCCCAGGCAAACAAAATAGGAAACTTTGTCTCAAAACAAAAGACAAAACTAAAAATATAAAGAGCATGTTTCCATTTCAAAAAACATTGGTTTCCTTTTATTACATAGGTGGATGGGAGAAAGGGAATAAAGAAATGAATAGAAGAGTATCGCTGTTGCATTAGTTCACCCTTTGTCCTTTGTCTCATTTTGTTGTTCCCCTTCCCTTCCCTAATTCAGATCAACACATATACAAAACACAGGGTACCAATATAAAATTCAATGATACTCACAAGACATGTTGGAAATGAACTTTATGACAACTTGGGGGAAGGGAAAGTGAGAGAAAAACAAGGGAGGGGCAACAATGTTTGACAAGAAATGTCCTCACCACCTTATGTATGTAACTGTAACCCCTCTGTATATCACCTTGACAGTAAAAGTAAATTTTAAAAAATGAAAAAAAACTTTTAATTTTTTTATTCCTCAGAGTATGATGTTTGTTATAGAAGTCTAAATAGCCAAAAATAGTGTCCAGTAAAATTATCCCTTATAAACTCAGTCTAAAAAAAATCGCAGCAATATATTATGTTCTGTTGTGTAAGGCAGTAGCCTTCCTTCATTGCTTCCTTCCTTCCTCCTCCCTCTCCCTCCCTCTCTCTCTTTTTTATTCTTTCTTCCTTCCTTCCTTTCTTTCTTAGCTTTTTTCTCTCTCTCTCTTTCTTCCTTTCTTTCTTGGCTTTCTTTCTCTCTTTCTTTCTTCCTTTCTCTTTCTTTCTTTCCTTCTCTATGAATTTATTTTTTCCAAGACAAGGTTTTACCATGTAGTCCAGGCAGCCTCAAACTGGAGATCTCATGCCTTAACCTCCCAACTGTTGGGATAACTGGTATATACCAACATGCCTGGCTCACAACTGTGTTAATCCCAAATTGCAAACATTTTTTTTAAGACATTAGCTTTTTTGCCATCTGGGTTACCCAATAATTCCCACATGATGCAAGTGCTGAAATATATATGCAAGTCAAATGAAGAGAGAAAATACAAAAACTAAGCACTAATGTCATAGAAGAAGCCATAAAACTTTAAGATTTGGCTGGTCAGTTTTGTATAGTAAGCATCTAGAAGGAATAGGTTGGACTACAATAAAACAGAAGTGATTTTCTGCTAAGAAAATGGATAATCAATGTGCATTTACATGGCCGATGCTTAAAACTCCCACTTTGTAAATCAGATTTCTCCTAAAGCCAAATTTCTCAATTTAATTAAGTCCCATTATAATACTCCCTAGTATTATACTCCCTAATTTTTACAGATTCATTTTCAGGATGAATCTGTGGCAGCACAGGAAGATTTTCTTCTTTTAAGAAATTGAAAAGAAAGTATAAACTAATCATTTTCTAACAGTCTCAGCTAAGAATCCTCTTTGTCCATATGAAATAATTAAAAATGAATCTTCTCAGCCGGGCGCTGGTGGCTCACGCCTGTAATCCTAGCTACTCAGGAGGCTGAGATCTGAGGATCGCGGTTCAAAGTCAGCCCGGGCAGAAGAGACCGTGAGACTCCTATCTCCAATAAACCACCAGAAAACCGGAAGTGGCGCTGTGGCTCAAGTGGTAGAGCGCTCGCCTTGAGCTGAAGAGCTGAAGGACAGCGCCCAGGCCCAGAGTTCAAGCCCCACGACCGACAAAAAAAAAAAAAAAAAAAAAAAAAAAAAATGAATCTTCTCTGGGTGATGGCTGAGGTTGAAAACATTGGAGTCTCTCCATCAGTCCACCAGTTTTAACCGATGGACCTTTGGAGTGCTAAAGGGAACTTTAGAGTGCAAGAGGAAACGTTAGAAAACTGATCTAAGCACACAAAAACAATTCAAGTAAACATCAAGTGTACATACTGGCATTTTATCACTTAGTATGCCAAGCAGCGGTGAAGAAATGGCATAGGCCAGTGCCAAACCCAGGAAGACCAATCCCACATATCCAGCTGGCAAATGAAACTGAAAAAGAAATCCTTCATTGAAGTTACATAGTTAGGCATTTCTTATAATAAGCATCTACCTTCAACACATATTGTTACTACTCTTCTAAATATATGCAGCATTCCTATTCATTAGCTTTCTACAGCTGTGACCAATATGCCCTACAGAACAACTTATAAGGAGGAATTATTTTTTATGGTTTCAGTATGTCATGGCAGGAAGAGTGTGATAGAGCAAAGCTATTCATGTCATGGTGGCCAGGAAAGGAGGGGAAGGAAAGAGGGAGAAGGAAGGACAACAGTAAGGAGTAAGGGAGAGAGACAGAAGGTAGTGGGGAGGGGAGGAGGGGAAGGGAAGGGAAGGGAGCAATCATACCTGCCTGTGCTAACTGGCTTTCCATTTTTTTCTATTTTATTCCATCCAAAATGGTGCTTCTGACATTCAGAATACACATTGCCTTCAATAATTTCTCCATAGTTAATCCTTTCTGGAAAAACTCTCAGTCACACCTAGACTTCTGCTTAACTAATCCGTTTGGTACTTTTTAATCCAATCAAGTTCAAGATCAAAATTGGCCACCACAGTATTCTTCCTAATTTTAACTTTACTTTGGTAAATGACCTATTTTTTCACCAGGGAAGAAAACAATGTCTAACTAGAGAGCAGAGGATAGACATGCTTTGTTTTGTAACATTTGATATCAAACATATAATGTAGGTCCTATGAATTATATAGTGTTTCACAAGTTTAAAAAAATTGCCTAGAAAGCTTATCAAGAGACAGTCTTTGATTTGAGTCCTAAGGTTTCTGACACAAGAACAATAGAGTTGTGAGGGTGTGCATGTGTGCCAAGCTCATAATGATGCTGACAGTCCACAATCTGTACTTTGAGGCCCCTAGTATTAAAACAAAGGATAATAATATTAATTTGATTGATATCAATGGAGTATTAATATTTAACCAGCTACCTTGGTGTGCAGTTCCCAATTTATCTCTTCTTCCTCAAAGCCATTCAAAGGTCTTTTCCCAAAGAAAGGCCCCAAGGACAAGCAATTATGACTGCTTAATACAAAGCAGCCCTCTTTGACAAGCAAACTTCTTACCTTCTCCAAGACAAAAAGAGACAGAATAGGGTCGAGGAAGCCCAGGCAAGAGCTGCAGGAGATGATGACAAAGGCTACAAGGCCAACCTTGGGGATAGTGACAAGTTTCCAGAAGGAGTGTTCGCTGGGACCAGACTCTAGGATTAAAATGAAAAAATAAATAAATGAATAAACTAGAGCAACTCTGCTCCAAAATGAATATCATCTCCATTTGCATCTCTTAAGATATCCAAATGTAAAGGCCACATTTTATTTCCTTCAAAAAAATATTCTTTCAGATACAAAAAGAACTAACTGGAATCCAAGTGTGAGTGGAAGAAGAGGTATTAGGGTTCAGGTTGTAACCCAGAAGGCTTTCTCTGGACAGGATAGAGAATTCAAGAATGTGATTTGATGCAGAGAAAAGCATCATTTATGATTTACTAAAGGAATAAGATGTGTGTGCTCAAAGAGAAATATGAGCTTATTTTTTAAAAAAAAACAAAACTTTTTTTTCTGTTGGCAAAGCAAATACTAGATTGAAAGGGGAGGCCATTGAATCCTATGCAAATTATTTCTACCATTTAAGATGAGTTAGTATCAACTCTCATTTCCTATAATTCCCCAAACATTTAATTCAACTGCTTCCCATACCAAGCATGGAGCACTCCTCATTCCAGCCTCCAGGCATATTGCACAACTCCTTTCATTTTTTCCTGCTTTTTTTCCCTTCAAGTGCTAGTCCATAAGACCTGACTCTAAGTCTGATTCATCCAAAAAACTTAGATGTACTATCTGGAGAAAGTGGCTTAGACCTGTAATGCCAGCTATAAAAGAGGCTGAGGTCTGAGGATACTAGTTCAAAGCCAGCCTGGGAAGACAAATACATGACATTCTTATTTCCAATTAAATAGCATAAAGCCAATTGCTCCGTGATGCTATAGACCCAGGGGGTGTCTAGGTAGAAGGCAGTTGTAGTGCTTCTGCCCAGAGATCACCACAGATTTGCATTTGAACACCTATGGGCTTAACAACATCAAACACAAGTTTTGGTTTGGATTTCTTTCTTTTTTAAAAATTCTTTTATCTAAATAAAAGATATACAGTAGGTGAAAAACTGCATTGAAACTTTTCGGGTTTTTGTTTGTTTTGGCTTGGCTTTGTTCAGTTGATAGAAATATAACCACATAGGACTTCAAGTTTAATAAGGATACGGAGAAATTTTAATTGATAAGAGAAATGAAGATAACTACGTGCCAAATTAATAAGTGGTGGAGGAGGTTGCAAAAGATACCAAGTGGGGAGGGGAAGCAAGATCTCCAGGAGTGACTTTGACTAGTGACCTAGAAGTTCTAAATAGCTCTGCTATTAAGTATTTAGTCTGTGTGAGCAAAGTCTTTCTCTTTTTTTTTTTTTTTAAGTCATTGGGCTTGAAATCAGGGCCTGGGCTCTTTCGCTCAAGGCTAACACTCAACCATGCTGAGCCAGAGCTCCACTTCCAGTTTTTGAGGGGTTAATTGGAGATAAGAATCTCACAGGGACTTTTCTGCAGGGACTAGCTTTGAACCCCAGTCTTCAGATCTCAGCCTCCATAGTAGCTAGGATTATAGGTGTGAGCCATGGATGCCCAGCAGCAAAGTCTTTTATCTTGTATGATAAAGAGTCAGCAAGTTTTTCTCCTGCTTCTTGAGACTGAATTGGCATCTACTACTTAATTATCAGCCAACCATCCGACTGAAGAAACACTGAAAAAAAAAGACACGCACCACCATATGATTTAGTATGGTCTACTTCTCTGGCTCTTTAACCTTTTCCTTCAGTTTAGAAAACTGAACTAGAAGTTAGCTATCTAATTTTGTTCCACTGGTAACTTGATAAGAGCACAATGTCCAATACAGGTCTAGGCAACCTTGAGGAGATGGCTGGGGATGGGAGAGATGGGGGGGAAAGGCATGACAATGACCAAGATGCATTGTATCCATAGACATGTTGAATTGAAACCCTTTTGTACAGCTCATTAAGGAGAATAATAACAATTTTAAAATAATAGTAATAATAGCCCTGGCTGGTAAATTTCATCGGGATAGAAGGATTTACAAATAAGCTACAAGTACCTAATGAGGACACCGTATTTTGTGCCTTCCTGAACAGGTATACCTCTTTGAATCTACATATCCCTATCCCTCATGGATATGTAGAAGGAAAACATATGCAGTTATATCTGAAAGAAAAACTGACACAGTTAACACAGGGTAGGTTGTCTCCCATGCAGTATAAAGCTTTGAAATCATAGTGGCTTTTGTTACTGCCTGATGTGGTCCTATATTTTTGCATCTGGTCTATGCCATAGGTATGCTGAGAGACACAATGGGTCAGGAAAACTGGCCTTACCCTCATATCTCACAGCCTTCTAAAAATATTGAGGCCATGTATGACCCATAGAAACTTCCTGTTCTAAAGATGTGATTCAACTCAAGAGCTCTGGCATACAATAATTGGTTAGTTTCAAATGTTGGAAAGATTTTATGATATGAAGACATTCTTATAGGTAAATTACCTACATTTCCCAAGATTCTGATACATTAAGATTCTGGAAATAAATAAATTTGGACTTACCATAGTTGGGTACAATACATATGTTGAGTGGTATCATCAACAGAACTATGCATCCCAAAAAAATGAAAGGTATACTATAGCCAAAGGACTGATACAAAAATCCACCTAAAGGAGGGCCTAGAATGAATCCTAGTCCAGAAAAAACCTCAAGACTTCCCTAAAATTGGAAAAACAAAATTGAGTTAATGTATTGTACTTGAAGAATTAACAGTTCACCATCTGAAAAAAAAAATTGTATTTCACAATCTGCATACATACACACAATCTGCACACAAAGATAGACCAAAAATTTAAATGCATATGTTTAAATAATAAAGATACTAGGAAAATAAAATATATGTGAGCATGGTGGAGATTTTCTACTTACATTACAAAACACAAAACATAAAGGAAATAACTGATAAATCAGGTAATATGAAAACATGCAAAACTATGCATGGCAAGAATATCAAAGAACAAATGAAAAATAAGAGAAAATATAACAAAAAAAAAAGAATTTCCCAAAGACATTCAGATAGCCAGTAAGAAAAAAAATGAAATGGGCTCCTGGGAAAATTGTATAAACTGCTGACACATGAAATACAAATAACTCTCAGAACAGGCAGCAGCTTGCCCTCACTCGTTAAAATAAAAGAAGAGATTAAATCTCAAGACATGAACTTTTGACTATATACTTATCAACACAAATTTCTGCCAAGATCCAAAAATAGAAATTTTCTTATACATTGTTGATGGGTGAGAACTAGGGTCAATTTAGAAAACTATTAACATTGCAAATGCACCTATGCTCTTAGCTAGAACAGGAATAAACATCAAGGTTCAGCAGGGTTATCCTTGCAAGAGAAGGGAAGGGAAGGGGAGGGGAGAAAGAAAGAAGGAAAGAAAGAAAGAAAGAAAGAAAGAAAGAAAGAAAGAAAGAAAGAAAGAAAGAAAGAAAGAAAGAAAGAAAGAAAGAAAGAAAGAAAGAAGGAAAGAAAGAAAGAAAGAAAGAAAGAAGGAAAGAAAGAAAGAAAGAAAGAAGGAAAGAAGGAAAGAAACAAAGAAAGAGAAAGAGAGAAAGAGAAAGGGAAGGAGGGAGGAAAGGAGGGAGGGAGGGAGGAAGGAAGGAAGGAAGGAAGAAAAAGAGAGGAAGAAAGGAAGGAAGAAGGGATTGAGGAAGGAAGGAAGGAGAGATAAAAGAAACATATAGAGAAGTGCATTTGATAGTTTAAAAAAATTCAAACTATGGTATTATATGAGTAAATCAAGGGAGTCTTTGGTACTAAGGTGATCATACTCTGAAGTCTAGAAAACAAATACACACAATAAAGGTAGCTTTTGGTCTGATATGCTAACCTGGGGTCCTACAGGGGGTGGATACAGGAACCTGAGAGGAAGCTACCAGGGTGAGAAAGGCAGATTCTCAGGGCCGGACAGGACATCTGGAATGTCACTAACACTAGGTTTACATCTAGACAATATGTAAGAACCTTTGTCAGTGTGATGCCAGCAGGCTCTGGATTTTTATGCCCAAATAAGATTGCATTCCTTCAACATTACTGAAACACTTACAGACTCCATACAGATCTCTAAACATCTGGGAAGAGTGGAGGAAGAGCTCTGGTATGAGCTAAGTATTCACAACCAGGCACTCTTCTGAAGTAGAAGACTATTTCAGGTAACTCAGTCAAGACCTAGATTACAGGGAGAGGGCTAAATAAATACTACTCAAAAGATTTTACTAAAAGTAGTGAAGTAATAGTTGGTTTGGAGCACATCTACCTGAGAAACAGCCCATTCAGTTTGAGAAACATCAGAAGGGCATCTAACTATCATCAATAGCATAGTCTTGTTGCTAGAAATAGAAATTAGGGTATAAGGAAACAAAAGCAGAGGACAGTCAAGAAAAGTTGGTTCAGAAGAATGGAGTCCAGCTTTTGCTTGGAAGGTCAAGCAAATATTCTGACCTGGAGTAAAGGAAAATGTATAAAGTACATACCAATACTGTAGCCAAGTTATTTGGAAAAGCCTTTGCCAGGATGGCATTTGATGCAGTTATTGCTGCACTAAAGCTTATTGCATCTACTATTCTCACAAGAAAACACATAGCAATAAATATCGGTCCATCTGGAAGTTGGTCCAAGACACTAAAAAAGAAAAGGACAATTCCCATATGTCAACCTGTGTGTGGTTTTCTTTTTCACTTTGATTATATTCATGGAAAAGAGTAGATTATTATGCATAATGGTTAAAAAGTCAATCTCTCTCTTAAGAATATGCTGGGGTTTCAGGTTGTTTGTTTGTTGGTCCTGGGTTTGAAACCAGGACCTGGGTGATCTCCCTGAGCTCTCTTTGATCAAGGCTAGCTCGCTCTACCACTGTGAGCCACAATGCCACTTCCTGTTTCTCTGGTAGTTAACTGAAAAGAGTTTCAAAGACTTTCCTGCCCTAGCTGGCTTTAGACTGCAGGTACTCAGATCTAAGATTACAGATGTGAGCCACTGGCTCCGGTTTGCTGCACGGGGCAGGGGGTGTGGGGGTGGTGGGAATTAAGACTTATTTTTTAACATTCAGCAGAAAATTGCCTTTATTGTTTAAAATTTGAGTCATAATAACTCAAATTTTCTTTTTCTGCTGCCAGAATTGGTTCCCTAGATAAAAATACTAAATAGGCCCTTATGGAATATAATCATCCATCAGTTGCCATAGGGAAATGGTTCCAACCCCCTTGGGTATCAAAAATGGGAGTACACTCAAATGCCTCATACAAAATGCATACTCAGGTACCAGTAACTCACACATAAAGTCTAACTACTCAGGAGACTGAGATCTGAGGATCTCAGTTTGAAGCCAGCCTGGCCAGGAAAGTCCATGAGCCTCTTCTGTCTTACTAACTACCAAAAGTCAGAAGTGAAGCTGTGGCTCAAGTGGTAGCCTTGAGGGGAAAAAAGCTTAGGGATAGTCCTCAAGCCCTGAGTTCCAGCCTCTGTACCAGCATAAAAATTATTCTAAAATGGCTTACTATTTGCATATAATCTATTACACACCCAGCTAAGTGCTTTCGACCATTGCTACTATTTGATTTACATTCATTCATTCATTTACTTATTTTTTGCTGTGCTGAGGATGAAATACAAGGTCTCACTCATGGTGGACAAGCATTTTACTGCTAAGCCACACCTTCTGTCTCCCTTAAATCATCTCTAGATGATTCCTTACAATACCTAGTACAACATAAATGCTATGAAGATAGTTGTTATTGTCATGTTGGATTATTTAGTGATGACAAGAAAAAAAGTTCAGTACAGATGCATTTTGTTTTCAAATATTTCTACCAGCATTTGCTTCTAACAGACGTAGAACCTAGAGATACTGAGGTTGAGTTGAGTATGAAATCACTCTGGCAATACCTATACATGAGGGAAATCTTCTTACTAGCAGGTTTAGCAGGTTTCTCTCATGATAGGTCTCAAGCCTTCAAAACAAACCAACCATCAAAAAAGGAAGAACAAGAATACAGAAAATAATCTCACCAAAAGAAGAAAAAGCCACCAAATGCCAGTGGCTCACACCTGTAATCCTAGCTACTCAGGAGAATGAGCTCTGAGGATTGCAGTTCAAAGCCAGTCCGGGAAGAAAAGTCCATGAGACTCTTGTAAGGTCCATTCCTGGACGGCGAACAGACCTCGCCCAGTACCTGCATTACCTAGGCAACTGGGACACCTGGAAGAGGTCACATCTTAACCTGATGTGGCCACACCTTTCTCCCACCTGATCCCACTTCCCTTTACCTGGACACACCCTTCCCCACCCCTTACCCTATATAAGGCCTAAACCAGGGCCAGACGTTCCTTTTTTTCTTTTGCCAGCCGCATGGAGTGCCAACCTTGCCTGGTCCCAGCAGGTCTACTGAATAAACCTACCCCTTACCTGAATATCACGTGCGTGGTGCAGTTCTTACTCAGCTACCTCTTTTTAAAAACCTAACAACTCTTATCTCCAATAAACCACCAGAAAACTGGAAGTGGTGCTGTGGCTCAAGTGGTAGAGCACTTGCCTTGAGCTGCAGAGCTCAGGGACAGCATCCAAGCCCAGAGTTCAAGCCCCATGACAGACAAAAAAAAAGAAGGAAGAAGGAAGGAGAAGGAGAAGGTGAAGAAGAGGAAGCAGAAGCAGCAGCAGCAGCAACAGCTAGGCACTGGTGGCTAGCTACTCAGGAGGTTGAGATCTGAGCATTATGGTTTGAAGCCAGCCTGGGCAGGAAAATCTTGAGACTCTTATCTCCAATTAATCACAGAAAAATAAAAAAGCCAGAAGTGGCACCATGGCTTAAGTGGTAAAGTGCTAGTCTTGAACAAAAACAGCCCACGGAAAGCCCCCAGGCCCAGGGTTCAAGATCCAAGGCTAGGAAAAAAAAAAAAAGAAGACAAAGAAGAAAGAAACCATACTTCATTCCATGCTTTACTTCAGTTTATCTTCTCATACTCTTATCTTTGTTCCCCAGGCACTAGTATGAGCTCTTTCCTATTATTAGTTACTTTGCTGCTAGTTTGAGGATTCTAAGCTTAAGAATTTTCAGAACTATTTTGCCTTTGGCATTCTTTCTTTTTTCCTGGAAATAGCCAAGGGAAAACAGTTCTATTTCATGTTCAGAAATGAGCACTTAAGCTGGGCGCTGGTGGCTCACGCCTGTAATCCTACTCAGGAGACTGAGATCTGAGGATCACAGTTCAAAGCCAGCCCCGGCAGAAAAGTCCATGAGACACTTATCTCCAATAAACCGGAAGTGGCACTGTGGCTCCAGAGCTCGCCTTGAGCTGAAGAGCACAAGGACAGCACCCAAGCCCAGAGTTCAGGCCCCAGGACCAAAAAAAAAAAAAAATGAGCACTTAAACTGACCTGGTCAATCAGAACATTTTTATTTATTTAGTTATTTATTTAATTAGTTAGTTTTGCCAGTCTTGGGACATTAACTCTAGGCCTGGATGCTGACCCTGAGCTTCTCTGTGCTCAAGGCCAGCACTCTACCACTTGAGTTACAGTTGCCATTTCTACCTTTTTTGGAGTAGTTTATTGGTTATAAGAGTCTCACAGACTTTCCTGCCCTGGCTGGCTTCCAAATGCAATCCTCAGATCTCAGCCTCCTGTGTAGCTAGTATTACATGCATGAGCCACTGGCACCTAGCTCAGAACATTTTTTAAATTAGCATACATTAGTTATACATGGAGGAATTTCATTGGGACATTTCTACTTACGTGTACACTATATTCCGATCTCACTTCCTCCATTACTTTCCTTTTCTTCCCTTCCCCACTTCCTAAAACTAGTAAGATTCTTTTGTCTTGTCTATAGAGGCCTTGAGGTAGGAATGGGCTGGCAACAAAGGTCAGGCAAGAACTCCTTTCAATGACTCTAATGGAGCTATTAGGAAAGCAGCACTCTCTTCCTGCTGGTGCTTTGACACCTGCTGGTCACCAAAAGAGAGAGCTTGCCCAAGAACATAGCACAAGAAGAAGAAATAGAACTAGGAAGCTGAAAAAGATTTCTGATAATTGTTTTAGCACTTGGATAATAGTGCTCAAACCATTTGGAAAGAAATTCATGATTTCATTAAGTCAACAAGTTTCTATAACTTAAGAAAGTAAGAAGTTAAGTTTCTATAACTCTCAGTCACAAGAGATAAAGTAGCCAGTTTTGTGTTCTATTGTGCTGTGTTGTATTGTGTTGTGTGGTGTTTTTATGACAGGATCTTGTTATATAGCTTAGGCTGGCCTCCAACTCAAAATCCTCCTGCCTCAGCCTTTTGGCTACTAGGATTACAGGTGCACATCACCACATTGGGCCTAGTGGTAAGTTTAATAGTAAGGCTCTTTCTTTGATATATTATTGCCAGTCTTTCCATTCACAAGGCAGGAGGAAGGAGTGTACGAGGCCAGCTTGGGCTACATGGGGAGACATTGCTCTCTATTCACTCATCTCTTCTCACCGTTAGTCACAAACCATACATTCAGCAGACTATAATATTACCAGTGTTTAAAGAGACATGAACATCTATAACTGAAGATAGGTGATGAAAGTTACTCAAATTCCCAAACATGGGCTGGGAAGGTGGCTCAGTGGTAGAGCGCTTGCCTTGCATGCCTGAGGCCCTGGGTTCGATTCCTCAGTACCACATAGGCAAAAAGAAAAAAGCCGGAAGTGGCGCTGTATCTCAAGTGGTACAAGTGGTAGAGGGCTAGCCTTGAGCTGAAGAGCTGAGGGACAGCGCCCAGGCCCAGAGTTCAGGCCCCACAAACGGACCCAAAAAAAAAAGGCTCAACAAATTCCCAAACATATCAAAAAGTAACTTACCCAAAGAGAACTGTAACTGCTCCTGAGACAAATATTCCTGCTATGAACATAAATTTTGCTCCAATACATACAAGCTATAATAAATGTCAAAGAGTGGTAAGTGGATTGCTTCAACACATCTATATTTGCATAAACAAATCCTCAATTATAGAACTAAGGAAACATATATATAGTTAGTGTAATAATACACTAATTATTTGAAAGAATAGTATATATTAATAATAAATATGGAGAGCGTTTAAAAATAAAACAATTCTAAGGACTAGGGCTGTCAACAGGGGCATAATTTATAAAACTATAATGGTGGCTATTCCTTATCCATGGATAAAATTATGTAATTTTTAAAAATTAGAAAATGTATATAAACTTCAATACTTACATATTTTCCAAATATCAAAGATGCCAGCAAGTCAAATAAGGCATAAGACCCAAAGATCATACCGATCATAGTGTTGCTGGCTCCCTTCTTTTCAGCCTTTGAAAAATAAGAATGGAACAAATGTTAAAGAACATCAATAAAGGAAATAGAAATTGGGGAATTTCAAAGATTCTACAAATGTTAAAGAACATCAATAAAGGAAATAGAAATTGGAGAATTTCAAAGATTCTAATTTTAAAATAAGTGGAATAGGCCAGGAAGGGAAACTAAGATAGTAATAATGCTAGTCTCTGACATGAAAATAATTTACTCACCATGATTATAAAGAATTGTTCCCACTGGGCACTACCTGTAATCCTAGCAACTCAGGAAGCTGAGATCTGAGGATCACAATTCAAAGCCAGCCTGGGCAGTAACATCCATGGGACTTTTATCTCCAATTAACCACCAGAAAACCGGAAGTGGTGCTGTGGCTCAAGTGATAGAGCTCTTGCCTTGAGCTGAAAAGTTGAGGTACAGCACCCAGGCCCAGAGTTCAAGCCCCACACTGACAAAAAACAAACAAACAAAAAAAAACATGGGCTACAAAGTGAGATGCAGTCTCTATAAAGGAAAGAGGAGAAGACAGAGGGGAAGAGAGGAGAGGAAAGGGGAAATTGATGAAGAGAAAAAGGAGGGGGGAGAGGTAGAAAGGATGGGAGGGGAGAAGAATGGCAACAAAAACATCTGCCCCCCCCAAAAAAAAAAACCCGCAGGCATAGGAAATTCCTTAAACTGGTATGGAGATCATATCTAGCCCCATTCAGTCTAGTCACACTGAGCTCCAGCAGGAAGCTCTAAATTTCCTACAGATGGTGTAACAGTACCCCTAGATGTAACCAGGTAGACTCATTGGCAGAGGTAGTTCTCTGAAATCGCCAGGGACTGGACTTCTTCTCATGAAGCAAGGGAGTCTTTGTAAAAGAACGAATCAATACAGACCACTTAATGGTGTTATGAGCCCAGTACCAGCCCCTGGACAAAAGTAGTAGAGTCAAATCCTATAAAATTACTCAGAGGAATCCATGATTGGCTTCCAAAGTATCCAAGAAGAAATGGGGGTATGAAAGACCTGACCAATAGTTTACCTGGGACCTCATTTTATTCTGGAATTCAGCCTCTGACCTACTGCAGTCCTAAAGCCAGAAAATTCCACAAAAAGCTAAGTGCAAACAGTCCTTGGAAAACTGCAGATGATGCTTACCTAAGATAAGCCGAATTTGTCTGAGATTCTAGACAGCCCCCCACCTAGGAGTGGTGACCAATATCTAACCAGAAAGTCCTGCTGTTCTACACGTACTCCTTTGCACCACCCTTGTGACTTTAACCAATAATTGTAAAGGGCATCAACCCCTTTATCTGACCAATAATCCTTTCTAGATTCCTTCCCGCCAGTGGACATGCAAATCATGTTTTAGAGATGTTTTATGATTCTCCCAAAGTGTGTGTTGATTTGTCAAGGAATGATATGATGAGTGCAAAGCCCCAGCCTTCCCCAAAGAATGTATAAAACTGCTGCAAACCCCAGGCTCGGGCCTCTCAACTTCACCAGTTGCTTGCTGTGTGTGCAGAGGACCGAGCTAGCTCACAATAAATACCTCACTGCTGATTACATCGATCTTGGTCTCTGGTGGTCTTTTTCGGGGTCCCGAACTCAAGCATTATAGTAGCAGTTATCCTAAATCTAACTCATTTGAAGTTCAAATGCTACAGTGGTGATACACAACTGAATTCATGTATAAAAATAGAGGCAAGGTTGAAAACTTTCTTTAACCCACTGAAAATGCTGCATATTTTTTTTTGTTTGTTTTGGCCGGTCATGGGGCCTGAACTCTGGGCCTGGGCACTGTCCCTCAGCTCTTTAGCCCAACGCTAGTGCTCTAGCACTCGAGTCATAGCACCATTTCTGGCTTTTTCTGCTTATGTGGTGCTGAGGAATCGAACCCAGGGCCTCATGCATGCAAGGCAAGCGCTCTACCACTGAGCCACCTTCCCAGCCCGCTGCTGCATATTTTATAGGGCCTCTAGTTAGAGGAATTTTTTTTAATTTTATTTTTTTTTACTGGCTATTTATTTTTAATATTTTATTGTTATTTCAGAGGTGAGGTACAGAGGGCTTACACTTACATGAGTCAGGTAATGAGTGCAATTCTTTCTGGACCTTGTCTAACCTTCCTACATCTCTCAGTTTTTCCCTCCTGTCCTACCCACAATAACATCTAGTGAGTACTACTGTTGTATTTGTTCACCCTTTCTTCCACCTTTTTTGTGTCCCACCTTATCCTCTCAAAGACTGACAAACAAGACAAAAGGAAAAGAAAACAAAAAACAGCAACAACAGCAACTAAAAAATGTCTCGTTTCCATTTCCTGGAGTTCATTCCATACAATAATATTATTTTATATGATCCTATGCACATTAGCTGTAAGAATTTAATGAGGCTAATTTTTCAAAGATAACTTGGCAACACTGCACACTATGAAGCTTGAAGTCTGACTTGCACAGATCTAGACTCCCAGTCAGCAGCCATTGACAAAGCATCTTCCACAATCAGGCATTATGCCAGCAGGCTATAGTTAGAGGAATCTACCTTAGACTCATCCTTCCACATGAGCTTTGAATAATTTTATTCATTCATACAGAAATGCAGCATGCAAGGGCAGGCACGCACATGCATGCACGCATATACACACATCCATTACAATCCATATTCTACTAGCCATAATTACATTTCACCACATTTTCTGTCTTCAATTTTAAGAACACATGCTCTCCATCCCTTCTCATGCAAGATACTATAATCATCTAATATTTAACCTTTTTCAAGGATGCTCTTTTCATTTCAGACTACAGAACATTTTACCATAGAAAAACACATGTTTTTTGTTTTTTGTTTGTGGGGCTTGAACTCTGGGTCTGGACGCTGTCCCTCAGCTCTTCAGCTCAAGGCTAGCATTCTACCACTTGAGCCATAGTGCCACTTCCGGTTTTCTGGTGGTTTACTGGAGATAAGAGTCTCATAGACTTTGCTGCCCAGGCTAGCTTTGAACCTCTATCCTCAGATCTCAGCCTCCTGAGTTGCTAGGATTACAGGAGTGAGCCACCAGCACCCGGCTTAGCACATGTTTTTTTGTTGTGTTCTTTTTTGATCTCAGTATATAGCCCAAATTGGCCTAGAATGTGCCAGGTAGCCCAGGCTGGCCTTGAACTCTTGATCCTACTGTCTTGGCCTCCCCTAGCTGTTACTGTTCTAAGGTAAATATTAGGAAAGGCCCCTTTCCTAGGAAGACCTTCATAAGTGGCTGCCTAAACCCTTAGTGGTGGGTGAGGTCACAGAGGCAGACATACCGCACTGCAGTAACTGCTTAAAAACTGAACCTGTAATTCTATAGATTTCAAAAACAGCATTCCCTTTTTACCACATGAGGTAATGGTGTAAACAAGAAAAATGTCATTATTAAGACACTTTTATGACAGCCTAGCAAAAGATTATGCTATATGTAGACCAAACTTAACAGAAAACAAACATTAATGGTGCTCAGTCTCAGATGAGCTGAGAAATACCCTCATAACTGCTTAATCCTACTTCAGTTCTTTTCTATCATACTTCATTGGGATATAAGTATATAACTAAATATATATGTATACATAAATTTGTTTTTCTCCAAGGCTTGTGCCTTTTATCTCTGACCTTGTTAATCTCATTTATCTCTGGAAGGAGGACCTTCCTCCTTCCAGTAGGATCATGCTCCAAAAAGACTGAGCAAAGAGTTCAAGGTCTTGCTGGGCTTCCACAATCAGTTTAAATAATCATGCCTAGACAAATCTCTATAGCAAACCAAAAAACACAGGATTCAGAGAACTTCTGGGTAGCTACCCATGTTTTTGGAGGAGGGTGCATCCTGGATGCAGCCGGTGGACTGTGTCAACGGAGGGAATGGAAATATTGTGCTTGTGTCCCTTACCTAATGCATCTCTTCATCTGTAGCCTTCACAATAAACTGGTGCGCAGAAGTGTTTCCCTGAGTTCTGTGGCTACTCAAGCAAATCCTCAACACTAAGGATGGGATTGTGGAAGCAGAAGTAAAGCAACCTGAGGTATATGACTGGCAAATGAAAAATAGAGGAGGGAGTGGACGGTGTTGGGAACAGAGCCCTCAATTTGTAAAAATCTGATGCTATCACCAAGTAGAGAATGTCAGAACTGACTAGGATTAGTGGATACCCAGATGGTGTCTGCTCCTGTGGAATTGTTTACTACTTGTTTATTTTTGGAGGCTACCAAAGTGATCTGTGTTGAGTGTGTAGTAAGAGACAGTAGGTCTGAGTTGGTTTTTCCTTCTATAATCTCCGAAGCCATCAATAGTTTTTCCACAAAACCCAAATCAAGTGTCTGTAATGATCTCCCAGTGACTAAGTTTCTTGACAAGCACTTGTGTGCTCTCATGTGCTAGCTGCAGCTTGCCTCTCAGGGCCTCAGCAAAGCTCATTTCACCCTAGGTTTAGGCCACATGGGAGCTGTCTGCTGTCCCCAAGCTGTTCTCTTTACTCTTCCCCTGACCATACCTGGAGGGTTCTTGCTTTTGCTTTTCACCATAGAAACCAGCATTTCTCAAGCCACACCTTACATTTATCCTTTGGAGCCCCATTCAGCATCACACCATTTAACTGCTGCTCTGTTCCAGGTCTCCTCCCTTTCTCGTGTCTCTTAAGCTTTCTCATGAATTTCATAACTTCGGGACAACCTCTTAAATTGTTGTGGTTATTGTTACAGTATCTCCAAGTCATCTGAAGCCTTTCTTTTTCTTCTTATTCCACACTTTTCACTTCTCACAAACGGGCACGAGATGGACATTTTTCTGACCTTCTTTTGCCCTACCACATCCCATGACTAGCACACTTCACAAAAGGAACTGCTTAAGCCTCTAGGGAATAGGACTGGGCTGGGAAGTCCCTTCACTTCTGAGATGGTTTCTTCATTGCATCATGACAGAATTCATACTATCCTACCCTCCTGAATGGGGTTGCTGGAAGCACCAAATGGGTTAAATGGGTGGGAATGGGCAAATGGATGAGAACTGCATGGAAAACAGTGTGTGCTCTGTAAGGAGCCATATTGTTCTTCTAGCAGAAAAGCTACTTTATTTTTATTTTGTAGCCCGTGGAGGATTACATGTTAGAAGACTGAGAAGTTGCCTACTCATCCTGAGCCCAAAGCTTTGACTTAAAGCACAAAATAAAATACACTGACATATTGTTGACACTTGCCCCATGCCTCTTTACCCTGTTATATTATGCCCCAGTTAGTCCATATTCCACGCAACTCTGTTGGGGATATTCTGTTTGTGCCTGTACCTATTGTTGCATCTAAAAGGCTACCATTAGATTTAACTAGGCAATATGAATGAGAACTCTTCCTTCATGCAAATATCACTTCTTTGAGTGAGGAAGAGAATTTATTGGGTTACAATTTCCTAATTCCAAGATATGAGCAAACCAAAACACTTCTTCAGCAGCATTTAAATCTAAAGTATTCAATGTGCCTCCTTTTCCCAATTGCAGTCTCCAAGTTTAATCATATTATATGATAAACAAAGTCATGTACACAAAGTCAATTATACTTTAGGTGAATTATTACCTAAGAAAATGTTCTTTCTGTTTTGCTTTACCCACTAAATCTTCAGTACTACATATTCTGCATGAAACATTCTGTTAACTGAAATTCTATATATGACCGATTTTGTAAGCAGACCTTGAAATAGAACATTCTAATTCATAAGAATATAAAAAGGTTTTACCTCCTTGGGAAAAAAGGGTCCTAGGATTGAATAGGCCATCATGGACCCTAAGTTCATGGAAGCTGCTGATATCAGTACAAAGATCTGTTCTCTGGAAAGCCGCCTGGGTGACTCGCTTTCTTCAGTGCCATCACCTTGAATAAAAATGCATTGTGATTACAGGGGTGTAATTTAGACTGAGGATGAAAATACACATGGTCATTTCTTGCAGAGATGAAGCATCTTAAAGACATGGATTGAACTAAGAGCTATTCTAAATATAGCACGCTGGGTGCAAGTGGGTCAAGCTTGCAATACTAGCAACTCAGGAGGCTGAGATCTGAGGCCTGCAGTTCAAAGCCAGCCCGGGCAGGAAAGTCCATGACTCTTATCTCTAATTAACCACCAGAAAAACAGAAGTGGCTCCAAGTGGTAGAGCATTAGCCTTGAGCAAAAAAAGCTCAGAGACAGGGCCCAGGCCCTGAGTTCAAGCCTCATATATTACATAAAAAAGAAAGAAGGAAGGAAGGAAGGAAAGAAGGAGAGAGAGACAGAGAGAGGAAGAGAGAAAGAAAGAAAGAAAGAAAGAAAGAAAGAAAGAAAGAAAGAAAGAAAGAAAGAAAGAAAGAAAGAAAAAAAAGAAAGTGAGCACATAACCAAAGGAATGGGAAACCACTCTGGAACCTCAATGTGATGTAGAAAAGGTATCATTTTCATCTGTATACCCTTTTCCTATGAGAACTTCAATGCAGGAATTATGAAAGCATCAACTAGGTCTGTTTTGCTACCATTAGGCCTATCTCCCTGGTCACTGATAAATTTCTCCAAGGCTGCCAGCAAGCAGGGTGATCTCCAAAGAGACTGCTGAAATGTAACACCTCTGATTTCTCAGACTATTGGCTTCATGTATTACCTAGGCTCAATAATGTTTAAAGCATGCAGGGTTAGCTATGTACTAGGAATTCTAGGTTCAGTGAAGTATAAGTAGGAAAAAACAAACTAAATCATTCAAGTGATGAATTTAACACAATAGTCTGATCTGCAGAGAGGAGCCCCGTGTACCTCTATATGTCATTTCTTTTATACTGCTTACTATTTTTTTTTACATTAATTCATTCAACATTTGTTCACAGGGCTGGCCTGACATTTTTTTTAATCCCCAATCAATTACTCTGATTCAAACATCTAAGCAAGCACAAGCCTTATTTTTTTTTTTAAATCAAATGGTTCTGAGGGGAAAAACAATGTATTTGTTTTGCTTTATTTTTTTCCAGAGGTTGCTATCACAATCCAGAAAAACCCAAAAATCAGTGCTCGATGAGGAAGTTAAAAGAAAAAAATAAACCTTGGTACAAATGTTGGGAGTCGGAGAAGGGAAAAGAGAGGAAGTTGGAAAGGAGAGCGGGAGTGAACGCTAGACAGCTGCTGTTTCCTGCCCCCCCCCCCGGTTTAATGGCACACCTAAGTTAAATGCATCCGAACTACTGAGCTGAGCTGCCCTAGGTGGGCAACCCCACACTCGACCCCTGGCCCAGACCCCGAGACCTAGCGAACCTCACGGGGAATCACAGCGAGCTGGAAAAAGAAAAACTGACTACGCTAACGCCATAGTCAAAGACACAGGCCCGACGCCCGCGCGGCGCGCTCGGTCACCTCCGCTCCCGCCAGGAGTCGGGGAACCCGCGGCGTCGTCCGTGCGCGGAGCATCCAGTCCCGGGCCCGAGCCTCGGCCTGTGGGGGGCCCGGGATTCAGCGTGCAAGGCTCGTCGACCAGGGCCGCGGCCCCGCCTGGCATCGGCCTGGCATCCTGCATTCCCGGCTGGCAGTGAGCGGCCAGCTCTGCAAAACCTTCCGAAGCCGGAGTGGGTGAGGGGGCGGGGCGTGAGGGGCGGGGCCGGAGAGGACGGGGCGGGGCCGGAGAGGACGGGGCGGAGCTAGGCTATCCCCCTCCTACCCCCCCTTTTTTTAAGGGTCTCAGTGTAAGGTGTCTATTCACATGTACAATGCATCTTGATCAGTGTCACCCCTTCCATCTCTCTCCCCCTCTTGTCCATCTATCCCATCCTTGTCCGTCTCCTTTCCCTGTTCCAGTTTCCTGTACCTACATTTGCTACTAACTCACGGCCTCAACTGCTGTAATTTATACGGTGCCTTTCACGCCCATGTAAAGAAGCCAGACCTCCTCTACTTTAATGACAAAAGAAAAAAAGAAATAGAAAAGGAGGCTTATACTTTATCTTTTACATGTCTTTTATTTCATTGTTTTTGCATATTATATTTCACATGTGTAAATGAGATCATATTTGTGGGTTTTTTATTGTGGGGAGTGAGAGTGCTGGTATTGGAACTTGAACTCAAAGCTTTGAGTTCATGCTTGGCTTTATTGGCTCAAGGCTGGCCCCTCTACCACTTGAGCTGCACCTCACTTGTGAGATAGTTTTTACAATGGTTGATAAATTAAAGCAATGTGAAGCAAACTTGAAGAAAAATATTAGCAAGAATCATAATGTGATTGGTGCTGATGGCTTGTATCTATAATCCTAGCTATTCAGGAAGCTGACTTCTGAGGATTGGGATTCAAAGTCAGCCTAGGCAGAAAAAGTCTGACTCTTTTTCTCCAATTAAGCACCAAAATGCCTGAAGAGGGGGTGTGGCTTACGTGATAGGGTGACAACCTTGAGAGACAAAGCCAAGCAAGAATTCGAGGCCATTGAATTCAAGACCTAGTACTAGTGTGTACACACACACACACATACACACACACACTAATAATAATGGATGTTGAGGTCTGATTGTGAGTGACTCTGAGGATCACTTTTGGAAACAGATGGCTGAGTTGGTTGGGTTTCACTGAGGAACTTGCTGGTTGTTTGACTGGAGAACCAAATCTGATTTCTTATCTGGACAACAGAGATTAAAGTGCTTTTTCTGTAGAGTGTCTGTGCGTGTTGGTGACTATTATTCTCATACAATATGTGAACACACACAAAAAATAGACTTTACTTGGCTTCATATTATTTCACAATTTGAAAAGGCTGGAATGTGACTTTTAAAAAGTCTTAATAAAGCCAGGTGCTGGTGGCTCGCACCTGTAATCCTAGCCACTCAGGAGGCTGAGATCTGAGGATTGCAGTTCAAAGCTAGCCTAGGCAGGAAGGTCCATGAGACTCTTCAATAAACTACCAGAAAACCCATACTGGTGCTTTGGCTCAAGTGGTAGAGTGCAAGCCTTGAGCTGAAGAGCTGAGGGAAGCACCCAGCCCCAGAATTCAAGCCTACGACCACAATAAATAAATAGTCTTGATTTGCTGCCAAAGTGAAACAAAAGACTATTAAATTGCCACCTTGTGCAAGGCATTATGAATTTAAGGAGAAATGAAGCTACAAGGAGAAGCTGAACAGGGTTGAAATAGATTTTTTATAACTATGAAAATAGGACAGGGGCTGGGAAGGTGGCTCAGTGGTAGAGCGCTTGCCTTGCATGCCTGAGGCCCTGGGTTCGATTCCTCAGCACCACATAAGCAAAAAGAAAAAAGCCAGAAGTGGCACTGTGGCTCAAGTGGTAGAGCACTAGCCTTGAGCTGAAGGAAGAGCTGAGGGACAGCGCCCAGGCCCAGAGTTCAGACCCCACGACCGGACCCCCCCCCCAAAAAAAAAGAAAAAGAAAATAGGACAATGAAACCTACTGAAATTGTCTGGAAAGGAAGGAAGGGAAAGAGGGAGGGATTGAGGGAGGGTGATAAGAGTCAGATTGATTGGAATATATACATGTGTGGGACTGCAACAATGAAATGCTCTCCTGTAAAACATAGGGTTAAGTTAGAAAATGTAAACTAATTTGAAAAGAGAGAGAAAGAATTCCAATTAACCTCTGCTCTCCAGCAGTGTATCTCCTTGTAGCAGGCAAAACAGACCTGAATAATGCTTTATTATAATGCAATATATTTTATAAATTTAAGCATATTGAAAGGATTATATACTATAAAAGGAGTTCAGAATGACCTTGGGAAGAAGTGCTAGCGTTGATTTTGAAGATTACATAAAAATTCCTGGGTGGTTGCATTTGTTATGCAAAACCCGAGGTTCTAACCTCAGTACTGAAGGGAAAAAAATCTCTTGTAAACTGATTGAAATTCTTTTTTATTTTTATTTTTTGGTCTGTTGTGGAACTTGACCTCAAGCCTGGGCACTGTCCCTGAATGGTAAAGGCTAGTGCTTTACCACTTTGAGCCATAGCATTTTTTCTGAATAGTTTACTGGAGGTTTCGTGGATCTCCCTGCCACCAGAATCCAGTTCTAGTTCATTTAAAAAAAATTGTTTATTTTTTATTTTTGTTTATGTGGTACTAAGGAATCAAACCCAGGGCCTCGTAGATGCTAGGCAAACACTCTACCACTAAGCCACATTCCCAGCCATGTAATTCATTTTTATTTGTTTCTTTTTGGTCTGGTTGTGGGGCCTGAACTCTGGGCCTGAGCACTGTCCCTCAGCTCTTCAGCTCAAGGCTAGTGCCCTACCACTTGAGCCACAGCACCACTTCAGGCTTTTTTCTTTTTGCTTATGTGGTGCTGAGGAATCGAACCCAGTGCCTCATGCATGCAAGGCAAGCGCTCTACCACTGAGCCAACTTCCCAGCCCTTGTAATTCATTTAAAAAAATACATTTTGATATTCTTTTGAGCAGCTAGCCTATTTATATTTAAGTTATTATTGACATGACTGGCTCTAGGTCTACCATTTTATTATTTGTTCTATAGCATCCCATTTTCTGTTCATTTGTTTCTTCTTTCTGACCATTTTTTAATAGAAAAAAAAACAGAAGTCTAATTTGTCTTTTTAGGTAAGTCTAGTTTAATTAGCTACTGTCAGTCTGCTACTGACACATTCCAGTTTAATTCAATGGTTGCTTAGGGAACACAATACACATTCTTAACTTTTCTTGTGTGTGGTTATAAAGTTTTGGCAGTATTGCTGTGTGAACTCGGGGCCTTGTGCTTACTAGGCAAGTGGGTTCTACTATTTGAGCCACAATGCCAGCCCTTGATTTGTTTGTAATATTTGTGTGTGTGAGTGTGTGTGTGTGTGTGTTAATCTTGGAGCTTGAACTCAGGGCCTGGTTGCTGTTCCTGAGATTTTATGCTCAAGGATAGTGCTCTACCACTTGAGCCACAGACCTACTTCCAGCTTTTTGGTAATTAATTGGAAATAAGAGTCTCACGGACTTTCCTGCCCAGGCTGGTTTAGAACCACAATCCTCAGATCTCAGCTCCCTGAGTAGCTAGGATTATAGGCATAAACCACTAATTTCTAGCTGATTTGCTTATATACCTCTTTATCTAGGGTCCAATCTCTTCTATCTTTTGTGTTTCAGTTGTCTTATGCATGATGAAGACAGAAAATTCATTATGCATAACTTTTAACAGCCATAGGCTTGTTTGTTTTACTTAAAAGGAAAAGACAGTTTTCTTTCTAATTCAATAAAAATGTCCATCATTTCCAGTGCTCATCATTTTGGAACATCTGAACTTTCTGATAACATTTCTCTTTAACATGAATAACTTCCAGTAACTGTTCTTCAAGAATGTGTCTTCGTGTGATAAATTCTGCTGGTAGGTTACTATTTGATGATCTTAGAATGTCTTCGTTTTTTTTTCATTATCTGAGGTTTTCTCATTGTTTGTCCAGTATCAGGATTTGAACACAGGCCTTCATACTTACATGGCTTGCTTGCCAAGTGGACATCCTACTTTTTGAGCCAGGCCTCCAGGCCAACTTTTTTCTTGTTATTCTGGAGCTTAATTCTCATGGACTTTTCTGCCAGGGTTAGCTTTAAACCAAGATTCTTTAGGTCTCACCCTCTTGAACTATTCATGTTTTAATTGATTTTTGAGGGTTTTTTTTTTGTTGTTTGTTTTGTTGCTGTTTTCCCAGCTGGATAGCTTCTAAGTGATCTAGCTAAAAGATCACTGGTCCATCACTGACACCTTCCAGTGAGTTTCTTATTTATCATATTTTACTTTCTTTTCTAAAATTTCTATTTGATCTTTTTATAGTCTCTAAATTCCTATCTGTTCATTCATGATGGGAATTTTTATAATCATACTTTCAATAACTGCTCTAATTTTTTCTCTGATTCTAACATTTGATCATCTTGAGATCAGTTTCTTTAAATTGCCTTTCCTCAAGTATGAATCATTCTATTTCACAGTAGATTTAATAATTTTGAATGTTATCAAGGACACTCTGTGTGTGTGTGTGTGTGTGTGTGTGCACATCTGTGTGCATGTAAGTGCTTGCTTGTGCACTAGTAGCCTTGAAATTAGGATCTGGCCACTGTCCCTGAACATTTTCACTCCAAGCTGGTGCTCTACCACTTGAGTCACACCTCTACCTTCAGCTTTTTGGGGGTTAATTGGAAATACACGAGCCTCATGAATATTCCTGCTTAGGCTGGCTTTGAACAGTTATCTTCAGATTTCAGCTTTCTGAGTGGCTAGAATTACAAGTGTAGGCCACTTTCTATCAGCTTCAAGAACATTCTTAATGATATATTGCAGGGATTCTGGATTTTATTATATTTTTCCAAATAACACTGATTTAAAAAATGTTAGTAATGAATGAGATCACCTTCAAAATTTACAATCTATTCCTCTAGTGATTGTTAAAAAAAAACAACAGCTAAAAGTTCTTCTGCAGGTTATTTAGTTTTTCTTGAGCTGCTGAGAACCTACACCATGCACGTGTAATTCAGGAGTCAGTAGGAGATGTGGGTACAGTCTGTACACAGAATTTTGGTTTTTATTCTAAGGGTG